CTCAGTGCTGTGCTCAGCTTTGGGCACTCACTGCCAAAAGGACATTGAGGCACTGGAGTGAGTCCAGCCAAGGACAACGAGGACAGCAAAGGGCTAGAACACATGGGGAAGGGGTGAGGGACTTGGGCTTGGTTAGTCTTGAGAAGAGGCTCAGGGGTGACCCCATGGCTCTCTCCAACTCCCTGACAGGGCTTGGAGAGAGGTGGGGGATGTCTGTCCTGCCATGGCTGCAGGGAGAGGACTAGAGGGAATGGCCTTGAGCTGAGACAGGGCAGAGTCAGACTAGATGTTAGGAGATATGTTTTCCCTGTGAGGGTGTTCAAGCACTGGAATACTGCCCAGGGAGGTGGTGGAGTCACCATCCCTGGAGGTGTTTAAGAGATGTCTGGACATGGCACTGGAGGATATGGTTCAGGGTTTAGAGGTTCCAGCAGTGACAGGTTAAATGGTTGGACTTGATAATCTAAGAGGTCTCCTCCAGCCTTGATGGTTCTATGATTCTATGAACATGCTTTTGAATACAAATTATTATAAAGTAAACCACAAGTACACAAAGTGCAAAACAGGAGAGTAAATTCTCCCTTAAAAAAGAAATGAACAAAGTTGGTGTGGAACACATGGTAACTATGAAAATGTTCCACTAGACTAAACAGAACTTTTGCTAGGCTCACGCATAGTACTCAAGATCTAAGACTTTATTTGGGAAGTACTAGGACAGAAAGAACTCACAGGGAGACTGAAAACTGTGAAGCTGCAAACAAACCCCAAAAGTATAAGATTCAACACAATTGTTAATTCGACAAATCTGGTGAAAATATTGTCTGCCAGAAGAGTATAAGGACACAAAAAAACAAACCCTGGCCATTTCAGGTGGTTGGTATCAGATAAAGAGAGTAAGTCTTCCCTGATTACTGACCTGCTCTCTCCAGCGCTCCAGGGAGAAATTAATTTTGTATTACTTCCAAAAATGTATTTTAATGCCCTTGTTGTACCTAAGACAACATAAGGAATCTGCACATTGGCCATGCTAGATTCCTCTCTTAAACTTTATTAATGCTCCTCCAACACGTGCCACTGTACGCTGCCATCACAAGCAAGCACAGACCAAGCCCAGTGCACACTTCAAAGGCAGTAGATAAAAACCCAAGAAGTTGCTTGTTATAACCCTTCATCTTCTCTCTACGTATCAAATATTACCACGTAACAATTTATTCTTGCTTTACAAAAGGCTGCAAATCAGAGTTCCCCCTCTAGAGGACACTATTATACTCTTCTCATCCCTGATCCACTTAGTTGTCATGAATCTCTGTTCCCACACAATACATCTCTGTGCAATACAATATGCAAAACTCAAAATTTTGGTGTGTTCTTTCTGTGGTTGAAAACTTTGTCTGCACATACAAACTATCCATGCTCTCAACCATCTCTTAACTATTTTCAAAACCCTGACAATTTCTTTCAGTTACAAGCAGACACTTGAGAAGTTTCCACAACTTCACAGTGGCAGGAATCACTCCAATGGGATATTTCTTTGCTGAAAAAGATTTAAAACTAAAAGCGCAGATGGGGGTGAAAAAAAAGAAAAAAAGAACATGAGTGAAAATGTACCTGGATCTAAAGGACATTCATTAAGTTTGGCAAATTCTGCTGGAGTTTTCCCAGTAAGAACACAGTTGGAGCTACGCAGCATTATAGGCATCCTGCAAGAAAATCAGTTACAATTTTCCTTCAGTCTCAGAAAGAAAAACATAAATAGTCAAATCCAGAACAAAAAACATGCTGAACAAACTGGAGAAAAAAACATTCCAAGGAATTAGAACACATGCATGCTATGACAAACAGGTTTTTCCTTTAAACTCACTTTATTTCATTGGCAATGTAACTGAAGAGAGACCTGAACTGGCCAACTACTAGCAGAAACTGTAGACTCCCTAATCAGTTGTTATGCACTATTACAGGCATTGTGACAAGCAGAGTCACCAAGGCCAAAGGTAACTAGTCACATCCCACTGCAGATCCACTGTTACCACTTTTAGTTGGATAAAGCTAGTCCATATCTCATTTCCCACACAGGAATGACACCTTCTGGCTGCAGACAGATACATAACCTAAGCAGGAAGTTTCCCCAGTAGCAGCTCTGATTTATCTAGCGTCTTAGCACAAAAGTCTGCAGCAAGCATTTTGTGAGGCAAAGTGTGGTAGAAAAATACTCCAAGAAATTACAAGCAAATTTGATACTTAGGGAAGAAAAACAAAAAAAGAGAAACTAAAGATTCCCAGACTGGCTATGAGACAAAATTTCTTCACAGTAAGGACAGTCAAGCAGTGGAACAAGCTGCACAGGGAAGCTGGGCAGTCTCCATGCAGGGAGGTCTTCCAGGCCTGACAGGATAAAGCACTGAGCAACCTGGTTTGATCACAGAGCTGGCCCCATTCTGAGCAGGAGGTTGTACGGGAGACCTCCTGAGGTCTCTTTCAACCCAAATTATTATATCTATTGTGCTTAAACTGCCAGGTATTTTGCCTTTTTTTTTTAAGAGTTCATTTTTTTCCTGAAGGCTTATTATTTTTTCGGTAAGAAATTAGATGTCCTTCACAATATTACTAGTCTCAAGAAATTTGCAGCTTTAGAAAAACAAAACTAGTTACAAAATCCTCAGCATTTCTCCACAAAGCTCCTTGGCTCTAAACTAAACCAATTTTAAATGAGTGCTTAACCTTGCACAGCAGAAGTAACATTTGCTTTGCTGGTTTTACCATCCACAGACATCTCTATATATATTATGCATGAAAGACCGAGTAATTTGGCAGAAAAGCAAATAGGCCTCAGAACATTTTGCAACAGCATGAGTTGCAGCTCCAGTATTCTTTCACATATTTCCCTCTTGTGTTTTACATCACTGGAACCATAGGCAACATCCATCCTTATATCCATCCTTCTTTGGAAGGAGACACATTAGCTTTTGCTAATCAGAGAATCTAAGGGTTGGAATGGACCTTAGAGATCATCTAGTTCCAACCCCCTGCCATGGGCAGGGACACCTCCTCACTAGACCAGGTTGCTCAAGGTTTCATCCAGCCTGGCCTTGAACACTGCCAGGGTTGGGGCAGCCACCATGTCCCTGGACAACCTGTGCCAGTGTCTCAACACCCTCACAGGAAAAGACTTTTTCCGCACATCCAACTTAGACCCTTGTAGGCCCTTCAGATCTTGAAAAGTTGCTCTGGGGTCTCCACAGAGTCTTGTCTTCTCCAGGCTGAACAGCCCCAACTCCCTCAGCCTGTCCTCATAGGGCAGATGCTCCAGTCCTCTTAGCAACTTTGTGGTCTCCTCTGGACTTCCTCCAACAGTTCAATGTTCTTCTTATGTTGAGAACACCAGAACTGCACACAGTATTCCAGGTGGGGTCTCACGAGAGCAGAGTAGAGGGGAAGACTCGTCTCCTTTGACCTGCTGCCCACACTCCTTTGGATGCAGCCCAGGATTCCATTGGCTTTCTGGGCTGAGCTCACACTGCAGCTCATGGGGAGCTTCTCATCCACTGTCACTTCCAAGTCTTTCTCCTCACTGCTGGTTTCAAGGACTCCCCCACCCAACCTGTAGCTGTGCCTGGGATTGCCATGGCCCAGATGTAGGACCCTGCACTTCATTTTGTTGAACTCTAGAAGGTTTGCATTGTTCCACCTCTCAAGCCTGTCAAGGTCCCTCTAGATGTCCCATCCCTTCCCTCCAGCTGTGACTGTCCCACACAGCTTGGTATTATTAGTGAACTTGCTGAGGGTGCACTCGATCCAATGTCCATATCACTGACAAAGATGTTGAACAGTATTGGCCCCAGGATCAACTGACCTGAGGGACACCACTCCTCATTGGCCTCCACATGGACACTGAGCCACTGACCACAGCTCTCTGTGTGTGACTGTCCAGCCAGTTCTTTACCTACTGAGTGCTCCACCCATCAAATCCAGGTCTCTCCAATTTAGAGACAAGGATGTCGTGTGGGACAGTGTCAGAGATGCAGGTTGAAGCAAAGTTGAGGAGGCCCAGATGGCACAGAACAAGGCCACATCTCTCAGCTCCAGGAGAGAGGATAATCTGAAC